TGGAAAGTCTCCATCAAGTCTCTCCGTGCTGCCTGTGGCTGGTTCCCGGCTACAAGGCAGAGGCGACGAGTCGCCACACAGCCCGATAGGCCCGCTTCCCCCCGGCCCACCGCTTGGTGCACTACACATCGCTAGGACTCAGTGGCAGGCCCACCGCAGTCACATTTCTGGGCCCTTCCTTTACCGCCCGCCCCGTCCCCAGCCCAGGGCCCCACTCAGGAATCCCGGGGCTGTTCCAGGGGCCTCCATCGCCCACACACCTGAAGTAACGCCCTGAGGCTCCCTGTCTCCATCTGAGCCCTCCCCTCCATGCCCACCATCCAGTCACCCTTCGTCTCGCTCCCACCATCACGGCAAGGAACATGGCGGCCTCAACCCATGGCACGAGAGACACGGCCTCGAGGACCTTCCTCCTTGGAGCCACAGAAAGCAGCCCCGTCTCCACTGAAGCCCGCTGCCTGTCCCCTCGCTCTCACTCCCCCCTCAAATGATCTGTCTGTCCACCTACCCGTTGAGACTCCAGTAGCGGGAAAGGCTCCACAAGGAAGAAACACCACCGCCTCCTCCTCAGCTCTGGTCGAAGAACGCGGACTACAATGCGCATGTGCACCAACTGCCGCCTGCTGCAAGGCGCATGCGCAGCAATTAGCATGCGCACTGACTTGGGGCCCTGCATTGCCCGTGGACGTGTTCCCACCTGGGCCACAGAGCCTTGAAAGTCCTGGGCCTAGCACAGTCTACACAAGCAACTTGACGTGTGGTTTCCCTTCCCCTGCAATCTTTCTCATGCTTCCAGAAACTTTCCAGACAGACTGCCCCAGGGTTTCCCTACTGGAGACCATGTCTCAAACATATGGCTGTGACAGAAAGAGACACTAAGGATTTTAAGACCCCTTTTTACCCATGCGGTGAGCCATCACTTCCTTCTCTGCNAAAGTATCGTTGTACTCTCTGTATTCTATCCAAGAGGACCAGAGAAGGCAAAAATCACCATTGATAATGATTCTTATGTATGTCTCCAATTTGATTTCACTATTTCTATAAGAGCGAAGGTGTTTTAGAAGTGATAAGCGTCTCCTAAACAAATGCATATTATATTAGGTCTGGTACTTGAACCTACTTTGGTGCCTCAGCACATTTCATAAACCTGATATTGATGACAAATGCATTTGTATGTTTCTTCACAGCAGGAATTATGAAAGAATCTGAAAATTATCTGCTGTTGGTGACACTACATATATTCAAAAGAAAGTGTTTTCATATTTTAGAATTTAACCTAGATTTGACATCACTTGTTTCTATCTCTGGTAGTCTGTACGTCAGGCAGTCAGTCATTTGGGGTCAGAAGACCTTTCAAATTATCCCTCTATATGACTCTATTAACGTTACAGCATGGTACCTCTATAGTATTCCAGATGTAATTGTGGAGAAAACACATGAGTTGCATTCTTAATGTATAACATACCTGCTGCTGGCAGTGGAATGGGCTGTAATTTTGCGAAACTTGCTCCTTTGACGTTGCCCTCATGCCCAGTCTCATGGAGAGCCAGTCCCTGGAGTTCAGTTTCTAGGTCAGGATCTTAAAAAAAAAAAGTTATCCATTTGACCAGTATCCATGAAATATAAATAATAAATGATAATCTTCATTCCTTCAGTTATTAGCAACAAAACTGTATCTTCTGTGACAATAGTGTGATGGAACGGGGGACTTCATATCTTTGTTTTTCTGTAGTATGAAAACTTAATTTATTTTTTATTGTTATTTATTTATTCTTTTTAAGCTGAGCCATCATGCTACCTATTGGCAGCTTAGCGGCAGCTCAGCTCAGGCCGGGAATCGAACCACTGTAGCTCAGAGCTCAAACTCTTGAGAGAGCTCTTAACCAACTGAGCCACTCAGCCGGCCCGCTGAAAATTTATTTTAAATGAAGGTGAAGAGAAAGCACACGACATCTATAGTACATTTCCTGTATATTGCCATAGTGTACCAAGAATAGAGATCGTCACCTCTGTCTAGAAAATGAGGACTACACTGTAGATGGTCTTGTGATTACAGTTAAACGGAAGAAACTACACGATTAACCAAGTGCATTTGTGGGCATAAGAGCCCTTATGGAAGTGATATCATTTCCTTACTGCATTAAGCCAAACTTTATTAGGTTAAAATAACTAGTTATATTTAGGAGGAAGGTCCTATATGCAACTTTCCGTAAATGAGTCTCATTCAGAAGAAAGGAGCGAAAATATAAACAAATTGTTTACGATAAACAGAAAAATCTCTGTCGGACAGTGATATTAAGGAAAGCAGGATGGAAAAAAATGAATGGACTGTATTGTATTGTAATCATATTGTGGAAACCTCTAATGGAGAATTGGTACAATAATCCATGGCCTGAGTATGTAAGTAAGTTACTACCAGTGTTTGAGGAAAATATTAAACTATAGAGTTAGAAGAAATAATATCTGTTTCACAGTATTATAATTTTAAGGTATTTTTGCATTTCCTAATGTCAAAACTATTTAAACTCCTTTTTACATCACTTTTCAAAAATTACACTCCTATAATTTCCTATATGCCAGTATTCTGAATTGTCCAGCTTTTACCAAACTTACCATAACAAAAATATCCAACAGGGAAGAGAGCGGCCATCAATCCTGGAGCTCATTTCAGGATTCTCTATGCTGCTCCACTGAACAGCATCAATTCTCATGCCAGTACTGAGCTACATTACCGTACAGACACATTTGACAATTTAGCATTTGATACAAAACTATTCACCACTTCATTCACCAACATAGACGGTAGGAAGAACACAATCTTGGAATGAAGTATGAGTTCTGTGTCGGTGAGTCAAGTGCTTATGTAGCCTCAGCTTTCTCATCTTAAAATGAGGCTACTATCCTGAGGCAAATAGGCTTTATNGTGGGGAAAAGATTTAAAATGTAATTGTTTTCGAAAAGTCAGAAGTAGTCAGAATTTGACAGAATCTGAGAACATGTACCCAGGTCTCCATACAGAAAAAGAAACATAAAGAGGAATTTATTCATTATGTTGTAGTGAAATCTTAAAATTTGGCTCAAGGTGATACAGTAAATAAGTTATGAAAAACAGGATATGTTTGTATTCTTAGTATTATATACAAGGGAACTAGAGAACACTAAAACAAGCCCTGAAAATGGTTTTCATATATGTGATTTCAAGTCACTCTTTACAAATGAGTAAGGAACCGTTTAAAAGTTAAGGGGTTCTTCCAGAGTCTCACACAGTATATTAAAGTTGGTGCTAGAATCTACTTCACTACCTCAGTATGTTTCATACCAAACGACTATCATGTGAAATCCATGATGTATTTGATAAAGAAAAAAATTATAGAAGCTTCTGAAAATTATTAGCAATGGGCAGAGTACAAGAGAAGAAAAGTAAAAAAAGGCTTTCAGATTTTGTAATTCAACAAAGCTGTGACACAAACCATTTCTGTAACTGATAAAACATACGTCAGGCATTCAGACAGCTGGGCTCTCAATTACTCTGCCAAAATATTTATATCTGAGCTTTATTAAAGTTATACTATGGTATCTCTATATTCGCAAAGATGTGCTTGTGGAAAACAGAATCCCCTACATTGTATTCTCGTGAGCAACATACCTGCATCTGGCATATAAATGGATTCTATTTTTAGTAACATATCCTCCATGACATCACGAACTTCGCTGCCCTCATCCCCAGTGTTTAGCTGAGCCAGGTCCTGGACATCTGTTTCTGGGTCAAACCATTATAAAAAAGGTTATCAATCAGAACACTTAGCATACTGAAGTTGATTACTCAGACATTATTAAGGCTGCAGTCTTCGAACTTGAAATGTAATCAATTGATTTTTGAAGGCCGAAACATACGTATGACACATTTGATATGGTTAGCGGTGATAATATCATAGTTTGCATGTTTTTATTACCAACAATAACTGTCGCAGGCTGACAAAGGTGACAGTGAGCTTGCTTAGCATAGGTATCTTACTCACAACCGCCTGGACATCTGTGAGTGCCTGCATTCTCGTTACTTCCTCAGACAGAGAAACTAGGAATTAGAAAATTCATGTCATTTTACAGTTTAGGCATCTGTGCCTCTACTGTGAAAACAATTTTAAATGCAGTTGCTGTCTAAGAACCAGAAGAATTCAGAATTTGAGAGAATCCAAAACAAGTATTCAATTCTCTCCCTAGGAAGACAGAAAAAACTTCAAGTCGATTATTTACTCATCATCTTAGCAAGCATCCAGGTCTGCACACTGAAAAAATAATGATAGGATCAGGTGTACTGTTTCCTCATGATCTTATTTGCAATCAAATCTTGAAATGTCACTCAAGATGTTATGCTATTATAAATAGGTAATGAAAAACTGAGTATCTCTTTATTCTACGTGACATGTACAAGAGAACTAGAGAACACAAAAACCAACATTGAAAATGATTTTTATCTATCTGATTTGAATTCTCTATTTACATAACAGTAACTATCGGTTTAGAAGTCCAAGAGTTTTCTCAGAATCACACACATCATAACAAAGCTGATCTTGGAGCCTACTCCATTACTGCAACCTAGTTCACACAAACTGATAATTATTTCAAATGCTTATGTATTTGTTCAAAGCAGGAAATATAGAAGAATAGGAAAATTATTGGCTGTTTGTTAAAGTACATGTACTCAAAAGTAAGAAAAGTTTAAACATTTTGATACTTCAATATATCTTTGATCCAACCCATTTCTGTAACTGATAGAATGTGAGTCAGGCATTCAGGCATTTGGGGTCTGATCTACCATTCAAAAATCTTTTTCTGGGGCCGGACGAGTGGCGCTTTGGTTAAGAGCTGGCTTGGGATGCCGGATCTGAGCAGCAGGGCCCCGGTTTGGATCCCACACGAGGGCCAGTGACGCTGCGCCCTCTACAGCTAAGATGGTGAAAAATAGCTCGACCTGGAGCTGGGCTGCCATGAGTTGCCAGCGATGGCGTCGGATGCAGTGGAGCTGCAGTGGGCTCCCGTAAACTACCGTGAGTGTTCGGCAGTCGGCGTGAGCTGCCAAGAGCCACCGTGAGCAGCCATCCAGTGGCTGGTGACCGACTGCCTCACCTGGGAAGACTGCTATGATAATACCAACATGGGCCAGTGAAGCAACATTCTCCACAACTAGAGTAAAGAACAAAAGGACATCAACTTGTCTGTTGCCCTTCCCCGATTCCCCAACGCTGATTCCCCTCCCTCAATTCCCCAATAAAATCTTTAAAAATATATCTTTTTCTATGAGCTCTACAGTAATGTCATCTCTATATTGTGAAATTCGGAAACCAGACAACTTGCATTCTTATTCCGTAACCTAACTGTTTCCAGCGCTTCAGTCTGCTCTAGATTGGGAAAAATCTTGCCTTTGACATCAGGACCCTGTGTGTCCTCACCCTCAGTCTTTGGCTGAACTGTTTTTGGGAGAACAGCTTTTGGGTCAGGCCCTTCAAAAGATGTTATCAGTTTGAGCGGTAAACAGCCTTAAGTTGAATACTCGGAAATTCTTCAGGCGGTAGCCCTTGAACTTCAAATCATAGTAACCCTTTTATCCACACAGAAAGTAACAATGTGCCACATT